AGAAAAAGTTCCACGCCACTTACTCAAATTATAGTTGTCTCTGGACATAATCCAGCAACATAACGAGGATAACAGTTTAGTCGTATTTGCACAGAAAAAAGAAGCAATGTTTAGGAAATGTTTCTCGTAGTCAGGCCCACCCATCACTTTACCCTAAGTCACATGGTTTCAGGAAATTCAGGAGCTAGAGCTCTCTGACTTTCATTTACCTTTTGTTGTCACTGACTTCAAAATAACGTGGCTGCAGCTTTGTGATGAGCACACCAGGAACCACACCTATATCCTTGATCTTGTTATATAAGACAAAACAAAGGAGCCACACCTTCGCAGACGAAGCAGAGCAGAGGTGAGTTTATACAAACTTTCTATTGTGTTTGGAAAAACCTTAGAGAATCTGTACATGCAGTTTTTAGCTGTTCAAACCAAAACCTCACTTTCACATTGAGATAATTCCTGTTGCCTTCTTTGTTCTGACTTGTGTGGAAGAGACTCTTTCATTTCCCTCCTCTTTCATTCTACATTTAAAAAAATATGTCATGTTTGCTGACTTTGAAATTATATTTGAAAATAAACTCAAAACGTACTTACATTTTATGGTAAAAGCCTCCAAATAAACATGGACCTGTTTCAAATGGACCCATGAAGTTTGTCACAGGCCTGAGGTCTGGCTGAAGAAGAGGAGAAAATGGAAAAACTGTTTTTAAATTTCAATATTTGCAACAGTTTACTTGCAGTAACATTTTCAGGATGTTTTCCAAAATGTTTTATGTAATCATTTTTATTAAAATGTACTTATTTTATTTGTTTGAATGACTTCATCTTATGACTGTGTAAAGGTGAAGAGCTGATGAGATGGAGAACTAAGATAACACTGAGGGAGAAGGAGAGTCTGGAGCTGTAACACCATCTGTGACAGATGACAAAGGGAATTTAAAAGTCTGACAATATAAACATTCCAAAAATAAGTATTGTTAGCACACTGAATGTTTATATCTCTACTGATCCAGTCTTTTTTGTACATGAATCGTTAGAAGGTGAGCTGGAAGAAGGTGCCACTAAAACCAAGGTAAACCTTTTAGTCACATTACAACTGTGTTTATTCTAATGAAGATGAACATCGGAGGGTCAGGAGCAGGACCACGGCCCTAATGTGCACCTTCCCCTGCTAATTGCCTAAAAATACTTCCACTCTCCACTTGCATAATTGTTTCGTTTCTCATAAAACCCTCCCCATCTATCCTGTCCTTCTGTCCTTTCTTTTCCTTTCTACCCTCCTATACTTCTCCTATTCCTTCCTACTGTATTTCCTGCTTCCTATGAGGGATCAGCTGAGCCCAAGTGCCGCATGCATTCTCCTGAAGCGTTGCCTTAAAACGCTCTGACAATCACCATCAGCACAGAGTTCCACATAGGGATGGTCCTGACTAGGAAACACTCTATTTCTTGTCTGCGTCACCACAACAGCAGCCCTCTCTAGATCTAAAATTATTACTTTTTTCTAAGCACACACAGTGTCCACACTGTCTAGAAACAGGTTTTTCTAGAACTGAGCAGGTGCTGATTTCATCAACTGCCTTGTTTGGCACCACCAGCATCATTTCCTAAACACATTTCCTCACCACAAGTCAGAAGTGAAAGCAGTCAGGGTGAAACTGCAGCAGAACAAAGTTAAACCTCAACAGCGAAACAGAAATTTAAACCTGTTATACACAGAAAATAAAATGTTTAATAAACTCTATGAAATAGATCACTTTAAGCTGAGGAATCTCCTGTTATATCTATCATTTCTATTTATTAAAACTATTTTTTATTATTTATTTACTATTTATTATTTATTAAAACTATCCTTTCCTGTGGTGTCCCCAAAGGATCTGTGCTTGGTCCCATTTTGTTCTCTTTGTATTTGGGTGACATTTGCTGGCGCAGTGGTTGTTGTGCAGCC